TATCTAATAGAAATATCATCGTTCGAAAGTTGAAAAGGTCTGGTGGCTAGTCAATACTTAGTTGCTTCATCATTAGGTCAAGGTAGGTTAGATTTATTTTTCCCTATCAGTTGTCCCACATTCCCAAGCTTGCTCGTCTAGCTTTGGGAATGTAAGATTTTTTTTTTTTTTTTTACTGCCTTAGCACTGTTCCCTCGGGAATAGTGCAGCGGGTACTATTCACTTGAACAGTAAAATTTTTAATTTTTATTTGATTTTTATTTTTTTACCCTTGGGCACTCTTACCTTGGGTAATGTTCCCTCGGGTACTCTTCCCTTGGGAAACATTCCTGCGGATAATTTATTTTTATTTTTATTTTTTACCCTTGGACACTCTTCCCTTGGGTAATATTCTCGCGAGTAAATTTTTTTTTATTTTTTTACCCATGGGCACTTTTCCCTTGGTAATGTTCCCTTGAGTACTCTTCCCTTGGGTAATATTCCCGCGGGTAATTTTTTTTTTTTTTTACCCTTGGGTATGTTCCCGCGGGTAAATTTTTTTTTTTTTTTTTTTTTTTTAACCCTTGGGCACTATTCCCTTGGGTACTCTTTGCTGGGTAATATTCCCGCAGGTAAAATTTTATTTTATTTTATTTTTTTAACTCTTGGGCACTCTTCCCTTGTGTATTCTTCCCGCGGGGTAATTTTTTTTTTTTCCACCCTTGGGCACTCTTAACTTGGGTAATGTTCCCACGGGTAAATTTATTTATTTATTTATTTATTTTTACTCTTGGGCACTCTTCCCTTGGATAATGTTTCAGTAGGTAAATTATTTATTTATTTACCCTTAGGTAATGTTCCCTTGGTACTCTTCCGTTGGGTAATATTCCCGTGAGTAATTTTTTTTTTTTTTTTTTTTTTTCCTTAGATGACATGACCTTTGTAGGTTAGGCTCTGGTCTCTGATAACTATACTTTTGATGCCCAGGCACTGGTCACTGAGCCTTTGTAGACTTTGGGCAATCAATCTTTAGTCTTGGTTGATTAGGCCTCGGTTCCAGGTAACCAAGCCTTGATCTATGATAACCAAGGGTTGTACCCTTATGATCTAACTTTTGGTATTGGAACCATTTTCTCTTTCTAGAGTCGTATTTAGATTGTTTGACGATTGATGTCTCGACCCTTTAATAAGGGAAGTAATTGTTCTTACTCATTTGGTAAGGGGTTTATAATATGTTCAAGTTTCACTCAGCTTGCCCCATTAATAAGGGAAATAAGATTTTGAGCTTCACTCAGCCTGCCCCTTTAATAAGGGGATATTTTGCCCAAGCTTACAAGCTTGCCCTTTAATAAGGGAAATAATAATTTCAAACTTTACTTAGCCCGCCCTTAAAGGGTTAATTTTTGCAAGCTTCACCTACCTTGCCCCTTTAATAAGGGAATGTTTTGCCCAAGCTTTATAAGCTTGTCCTTTAATAAGGGGATGTTTTGCCCAAGCTTATAAGCTTTCCCTTTAATAAGGGAAATAATGATTTCGAACTTCATTCAGCCCGCCTTTTTAATAAAAGGCTAATTTTTATGAGCTTCACTCAGCTCGTCCCTTTAGTTAGGGAATTGGTTTTTTGTTAGCTTTCTGTAAAGCATTAATTACTGCATAGGCAGGTAACTGAAAACGTAATATTTTATTACATAAAAAATGAGAGCCATCCATCTCATTGGTGATGGTGACTTTATTGGGAAATAAAATAACATGTAAGGGAACCACCCTCCATTTAAAATGATTAACTGAGATGCCCCCAGTCTTTATTTTGAATGACTTGATAAGACTAATTCTAGTTGTGAGACAATTGTTAGTCGGTATACTTATCTAAGTCCTTCTCATGATATGTCTTATTGCTTTTGCTGAAAAATGATTTCTTATATTTGGTATCCTTTTCATCTCTGGCGAGAAGGGCTGACCTCTTCTTGTCCTCTCCTTCCTTTCCCTTCCGTGCATTCATGGCGTCTTCAGCGTTCATGTGTTTCTGTGCTCTGATTAACAACTCTGCCATGTTGGTGGGAGGTTCTTTTGATAAGGAAAACAAGAATCTAGAGGTTTGAAGTCCTCCTATGAAAACGGCCACAGCCACCTTGTCGTCCATCTCTTCTACCTGCAACATCTCTGTGTTGAATTAGGTGATATATTCCCAGATCGACTCTCTCTTCTATTGCTTCACGGTAAGCAAGTAGGTAGCCAGCCTCTTATGCCTCTGACTTGCAATGAAGTGGCTTATAAATTACTTACTTAGTTCTTCGAAAGTGTTGATGGTTCCGAGCTTCAACTTGTTGAACCAAAGTCTTGCCGATCCCTTAAGTGTAGTGGGAAAAGCTCTGCACATGATCTTATTTGGCATAGCGTGTAAATGCATAAGAGCTTGAAAGGTCTCCAGGTGATCGAGGGGATCTTTGGTCCTATCGAAGCTTTCAAATGGGGCATCCTGAACTTGCTAGGCAGGGGGCATTTCATAACGGCAGGAAGTATTCATAGGAAGACTCTGAAATTTTGGATGATATTGGAAATCGTCCTATCTACTTTGTGCACTCCAATCTCACAGCAGCAGCAATCATACCCCTTTTCCTCATAAGTTTTTGCATTTTCACATTCAATCCTACAAAAATTAAGGATCCCTTCTAGTGGGTTGAACTGTTTTTCGTTCTCTAAATTATGCTCATACTTAAAAGTGCCAAATGAAGTTTTTTTTTTTTAATATTTTATTTTTATATGAAGATACATACCACCATTATTGATGTTATTTGAAGTTGGCTCAGCTAGAATTTCAGTTAATAATACTGTTAAAGCACTTGCCATCAGAATGTACAAACACATGGAAATCAAGAGCAGGCTTTAACAAAACAAAAGTTAATGGTTTTTTCTATTAATTTGCACAGGTCTTCTGTAGCAATGATCAATCTATCACTTCTACTAAAGTTGATTCCTCATCCTGAAATCAAGAAAGGGGTAATTGGCTCCCAAAAAAAACACACACAAAGTGTAGTTAATATAAAGAGTGGAAGACAAAACTATATATGATAGTGGATGCCACATATAACCTAAAAGTCCCACTACTTCTTCAGCACTACAAGTTCAGCCTCCTATATATATATAGTCACCTCATCTCCACATATTTTTGTCATCTGTAATCATCAAATTTTAGCACCTATATAAACAATGAATGTAAAAAAGAAGCTGCAGTTTTTTGTTCCTTATTTCCACTTTTGGACTGTATTTTGGATACTCTGTTTTGTCTTCTCTCCTTTCCTCTCCTCTCCTCCAGATTCCAGTGAAAACTCCAGTCAGGAGATCATTTGACCAAAGATTTATTTATTATATTTATTGTATGATCGGCAATGCTTAGTTATTATTGTTTCTGTTTGATTCTCCATCCATTTTATGTTAATTGTGATCTTCTTTGACATGCTAGCAGGACACTCTTCTTAGGATCTCGTGAGGTTATTTGCCTTGAACTTGAATCAAATCATTGCATATTGAGTAAATATATATTTTCTTTAAACAAAGCAAATTATTATTATTATTTTTTTGAAGTTTAGTTTTATGTTGATTATGGTTCTTGGTATTTAGATTTCAAGAGATTTTTTTATGTCTACAAGAAAATTTGAATCTGGGCATGAAAAAAAAAAAAAAGAAAAAAAGAAAAAGAAAAAGAAGAAAGAAAGAAAGAGAAGAAGAATTCATTCAATCTCGAAAAGGAGATATTCTTAAGTTTTTTTAGGAGCAGTACACAAATAGAGAGTTTAGTTGAAGATTTGATGAATGAAGAACATATGGATGCGAAAGCAAATGAAGAAAATCTCAATAAACATGAAGATTTAATGAATGAAGATCATAGGAAGTTAGTCAATGAACATGAAGATTTAATGAATGAAGATTATAGTTATTAGTTAGTTGTCTTATGCACAATGCAAATGCGCACAATTATATTAGCTATAGAATTTGAAAACATCGTGTGAAAATTCCGTACTCTTATAATTTTTTTTGCGCGTGTGAAACTTAAAGGCAAAAGTTCGCTTAAGGCCTCTCAAAATATTTAGAATTTCAGGGCCGGCCGTGGGTATGATGCACCTCACTCACAACAATGTGTGCGCCGAAGATATGGTGCACTTCACTCACAAAAAAAGTGGACCTCACCAGTAAGTCCCACCACTGCTGTTAGTGAGGTGTACCATTCCTTCGGCTTAAACGAGTTTTTTTTTTCTCAATTGTGACATTCTCAAAGCCTTGTACACCTTTCCTATGTTCAATAAGGCATAAAAAATGTCAGTTTGTGCTCAACTGCTTGAAGAGCCCTGTTTGGATCACCTGCCTCCATGAAAAGGCCAGCAAAGATTGGACAATGCAATAACAAAAGTTGGTTGCATGTAAAGAGCCTCAATGTAGCAATTATATGATTCTTGCACTATGATCACACATTACTCTTGGTGAGGAGACTCAAGTAATTCAAGTAATAGTTCTTCCTTTGCTCCTCCGAGTTGATCAATGTTTTATCTCAAGTTGAGTTTTGTGAGATTCAAACAGTTTCTGGGGCGATTCTATGGCCTTGAGATCCTAAGTGAAACTTGAATGATAGGATGAAGAAAACGTTCTCAAGTTAAATAGTGGATGAAAGACGAACAATAAGCAATTCTAATGTGTGTGATAGGTGCATTCGACCCATCCGTAAGTCGAACAAAAGATTGGAGTTGGACATGATTTATAAGAGGAAAATAAAGATAAAGTGGAACACATTTGATTAGTTGCTCCTGTATTAATAATTTATACTCAATTAGAAGGAATTGTAAGGACAATTCTTGGTATATGAACATTACTTAATTTTTTTATTATATGTATAATGTAATTGAGTTTAAACTTTGGGTCAATCCACACTGATTTAGTTGGACAGCCCACAATACGTGATCGTAATCGTGGGTTGCTACAAAACGGGCCTTAAATGATTGTACCATTTTTTATTTGGGTTTGGTATTACGCAGAGCCCATTAATCCAACAGCAAATAGCGCCAGTAGCCAGTAATTGACACCAATGTAACCCTAGCGGAAGGAAGATGCAAATGGAGACACCTACATTTTATTATGCACAATTCCTGACTGTTGGATCTTCATCGTCTTTCTCGTCCGGTACCAATTCTCTACAGTTCAGGCGTTTCGAGTTCGATAAAAAGGCTCTGAAATTCAAATCCTCTTCAAGATTCTCAGTTCGTGCCTCCTCTGCTAGAGCCGGAGATTCTGGTACACACTCTCTGTAATATATTTATATTGGTATATGTATATATGAATATATTTACTGGTATTTTTATGTGTCATTTGATCAAACATTTACTGTTTGTATTTTTTCTTAATTGCAGTGGTGACTCTTCTTGATTACGGGGCTGGTAATGTTCGGAGTGTCAGAAATGCTATTCGTCGTCTTGGCTTTGACATCAAAGATGTAATATTTTTTTTCTTTTCTTATTGTTTTTGTCTTTATTTTCAGTATGTGAATGTCTAAATTATTTATCAGGAATTGTAAGATTGAAAATTTAATTTATTTTACTTTTGTGTGGTTTCTCTGCAACCAAATTGAGCATTGTATCACTCATTTTAGGTTAAGTATGTGGAATTCTTTGAAATGAGCAGTTGTGTTGCATGTTGAGCTTGAAACACAAAGGGAGTTATTCTCTTAGCTATGCTTAAGCATATAATTAAGCAAGAGGGATGAGTAGTTTGATGTTGTTTGGAAGTATTATGAGTATGGCCTTTTGTGTTAATCCTAGTGACGATTTTACACGAGGCGACTGTAAAAAAGTGAATCCACAACTCAACTCTCTACTGACATAAAAGAAATTTTGAACCGAAAAATTACAACTCTGAGGATACCAAAAACGGCTTGGGCCGGGCATGATCCAAATTGTCAGAAGCGGGTCGGGTGAGAGACATTGATCCGAACCGAACCTTCACTGTCAGGCTTAAGATCATGAGATCAGTTAGAAAGCCCGAGGCCCAAAATCAGGATGAGCCCAAAAGGTCAGCCAAGCGTAAAGAGTTAGGTAGGAAGCTTCTAGAATGTTGATAGCAAAAAGAGAGGAAAAGAGAGGGGAGGGGAGGGGAGGGGGGGGGGGGGGGGGGGGGGATTCTTTAAGTGTAAAGTTATTCTGTTAAAATACGGAGAGAAATTTCTTGCATCTTCAATGGCGCCGTCTGTGGGAAACGATCGAGATTGATTCGTGAAGAAGAAGTGTGATCTCTGGAAGTTGGATTCAGTTTGGCGAGATCATGATCTGTCTTGCAGAGTTTCAGTTCTAGTTGATCTCTGGAGGTTGGAGTTAGATCTGCACAATCGCGATCTATTTAGCGAAGCTAGATCTGGTGAATTCACGGTAGGAATAGAATCAACAGGTTATAGATCGGATCCGGCCGAAGGAGATCAGAATTCGGCTGGTTTAAGGCCAGATCTAATGCGTTTGCATTAGCACAGTTCAGATCTGATTTGGAATTCATAGTTGATGACTCTGTTCCGATCAGGAACGATGATAGGAGGTGAGAGTTCTAATCCACAGGAGAATGGCCAGCAGATGAAGCTTGATGAGTTGATGAGTATGATTGAAGCTCTGAGAAGCGAGAATGTAGAATTACGAGCTGGAATGGAACGTTGAGAAGCTCCGGCGATTCCACGACCACTTCCGGTGGGAGAGAGAGTTACGCAACCTACTGTTGCTCACCAAGGCGAGCAGGAAGGAAACAATCACACAGATCTTCATCGCGAAGAGATTAGGCCAGCGATTTACCGTCAAATGTTCGTCACATGGAGGATCGAGATCCGCATCACGAGCGGATCAGGCGAGAAGAGGCCACAACGTTCAATCCATATCAAGAGAGGCTGAGGCATGAGGAAGCCATGGAGTTTGGTCACCATAAGGCTACATCACTGTGGCAAAGAGAGTTCACGGAGGAAAGATCGTTCTATCCGTCTTACCGGTCTTCAATGGCTACGTATGATTACAGAAATTCGGATAGGAAATCTGAAGATTAGAGGATTCTCCCAAGGTTTCCAAGGGAGAATGAGGCCCTTTGTTCGGCAGCACGAACAGTCGATTCACTGTTTACAGACGAGATCTTGAATGCTCCGAATCCGAGAAAGTTTTCCATGCCACTTTTCATTCTGTTCGGTGGAACAAGCGATCCGATCGATCAGGTTTACCATATCCAATTGAAAATGGCTCTGATCACAGAGAATGATCCTTTGATGTGCAAGTGCTTTCCTATAAGCCTGACCGGACCAACGCTTAATTGGTTCAAGAACTTGGCGAGAGGCTTAGTGGATAGCTTCCGGAATCTGTGTGATAGGTTCATAAGCCAATATTATGGGAACAAGCGTCCAGTTAAAGATATTTCAAGTCTCTTTACGATGAAGCATCACAAAGATGAACGTCTCCAAGCTTTCCTCACCAGATTCAACCTCGTCAAGAGCATGATAATAGCATGCCATCCTTCCACGGTAGTTCAAGCGTTCAAACTAGCAATGAACCGAGGGACACCGTTCCACACAAGTCTAGTGGTGAATACGCCAAGAACTATGGATGAGTTGAATGAACGATCTGATGGCTTTGTACGCTTGGAAGAAGAAGAGGCTGCCAATGCATGGAAGACGTCCATGATCTCGATGGAGGAGAAGTCCAAAACAAAGATTCGATAAAAACAGGCTCCTCCGCAGCGTCAGACCTCCTGGAAATCAGAAAAGAGGCCGAGAGAGGAGTCGATCACCTCGCTCAAAGTCACTTTGGCAAGGTTGTATCAAGAGAACAAAGATAAGTTTCGCTCTCCCCTACCAATCAGACAACCTCTCGAACAGAGAGATCAATACAAACATTGTGCTTTTCATAGTGACTTTGGTCATCAGACTAATGAATACAGGAACTTAAGGAGGCAAATGGAGAAGTTAATAGCAAAGGGAGAGTTCGCGGGATATGTTCAAGGGCAGCACAAGAGCAGAACCGACCAGCTGAGCAAGTTAAGAGGAATCAGAAGCCGAACTACCATAATGCCTAGCCCATCCGGATAATAAATGCAATTCATTGTCGACCTGAGCAGACCGAAGAGTCAGAAGAGTTGTTTCGAACGTGCCTCCGTCAAGCACAAATGAATAGGAGGATAGGCAGCGTGAATGCTCTGCACCAACAGAGCGCATTAACACAGATAAAATTTGACAGAACAGACCTGCTGCGAGTTCAGATCCCTCATGAAGATCCTTTGGTTGTTAGCTTGACAGTGACAGAGTGCTTGGTACAAAGAGTTTTAATTGATCTAGGGAGCAGTGCAAATGTCATGCCAAGAGTAACGTTTGATCGGCTCGAGAGCAAGCCAGAAAGGCTCAAACCCATTGGAAATCTCTTGTTGGGATTCGATGGGAAGCGAGTGGAGCCTATCGGAATGGAAGAGTTGCCGATTCGAGTTGCTGAGAGAGAGCTGATTGAAAGCTTTGTGGTCGTCGAGATCCATCCATCCTATAACCTTCTGATGAGAAGAGGGTGGATTCATAGGGTCCAAGGTGTCCTGTCGACTCTGCATCAAGTGATGAGATGCCTAAGCCTTGATGGAAACAAGATAATCGATATTCATGGGGATCAGGTCGCGGCCAAGGAGTGCTACTCTGTAATGTTGAAGACTGCAGGGAAGGGGAAAGCACCCATCCGATCTGATAGTCCAAGATAGCAATTACAGAGGCCTCCACCCAAAGAGGTGGGGGAGGATGATGAGCCTTCAGCACCCACTGAAGGACCCCTCATTGATGTGGGGATTGATCCTCAGAGGCCAGACAGAACCACGAAGGTAGGATTAGGGCTTGTAGAGGAGGAGAAGCAACAGCTCGTCGATTTCTTGTTTCGGAACGTTGATGTATTTGCTTGGAGCCACACAGATATGCTAGGAATCAATCCCTCTGTCTCATGTCATTCCCTTAACGTTGACTCGAACGTCAAACCTGTAAGACAGAAGTAGAGGAGGTTCGCCCCAGAGCGTAACCAAATCATAGCAGATGAAATTGACAGGTTGCTGGAAGTAGGGTTTATTAGAGAAGTTCAGTACCCGTCCTGGCTCTCAAACGTGGTTGTAGTGCAAAAAAAGAATGGGAAATGGAAAGTTTGCATCAACTTTACCAACTTGAACAAAGCTTGTTCGAAGGATAGTTTTTCGTTACCAAAAATTGATCAAATGGTGGATGCCACAACTGGATATGAATGGCTAACTTTTCTGGATGCTTACTCAGGCTACAATTAAATCCCTATGGATCCGAGATGAAGAAAAAACTTCTTTTGTCACCGAACGAGGAATCTATTGCTATAAGGTCATGCCGTTCGGATTGAAGAATGCCTGGGCCACCTATCAAAGGCTGATTAACAAGATTTTTAAAAGTTAAATGGGTGAAATTGTGGAGGCTTATATTGATGACATGGTGGTAAAGAGTAAAAAGAAAGACCATCATTTGCAACACTTGCAAGATGTGTTAGGGTGTTGAGAAAATATGGTATAAAGCTGAACCCGACCAAATGCTCATTCGGTGTGGGTTCTGGGCAATTCCTGGGACACGTGGTCAACAACAGGGGGATTGAAGTTAGCCCAGCCCAATCGGAAGCTCTGATTAAAATTGTAGAACCAAGCACAGTTAATGAGGTACAAGCTCTCACTGGACGAATAGCAGCATTGAGCCGATTTATTTCAAAGCTATCAGATTGCTGCAAACTATTCTTCGATACAATAAGAAGCCACGGAAGGCAGTCTTGGGGGGATGAACAACGGCAGGCACTGACTAAGTTGAAAGAGTATATGCAGAACCCTCCAATCTTGACTGCACCAAAACTCAGTGACAAACTTTTCATGTATCTTGGTGTGTCCAGCGTAGCAACAAGTGCTGTTCTGATGCGGAGTGAGGAAGGTAAGCAGTTCCTAGTGTTCTACGTTAGCAAAACAATGGCCGAGACAGAAAGAAGGTATTCGAAAGCCGAACGAGTGATCCTACTATTGGTGAATGTAAAGAGGAAACTCAGGCACTACTTCGAATCCCATCTAATCGTCTTTTTGACCACTTTTCCTAGAAGGGTGATCCTGCGTAAACTAGATTTGTCGGGAAGAATGACAAAGTGGGCCATAGAGTTGAGCTCATTTAACATTACATATGAACTCAGAATGGCCATCAAAGGACAAGTGGTGGCTGATTTCCTATTGTAATGTGATGTAGGAGAAATAGAGGAAGATCCTAGAGAATCTTTATGAAAGCTTTTCGTTGATGGCTCTTGCAATCAAATGAGGGCAGGAATTAGGATTAAACTGCAGACACCAGAAGGTACCACTCTAAGTCAAGCGATCAGACTTGAGTTCAGAGCAACCAGTAATAAGGCAAAATATGAAGCATTGCTGGCTGGATTGAAGCTGGCTAAGGAACTGAAGGTTAAAAGT